CGACACTCCCTATCGAAATCCGCTTATCGTGCGCCGGTGCGGCTCAAACTAGCGCATCTTGCCCGTCCGCGGCACACAACCGCTCATCAGTACCAGCCTTCGCTCATAACCGCGCACGTGAAGGCCGCGCGGCACAGAACAGCTTATCTGCACAGGGCGTCGCACACACCCGCGCAACTGAGTTTTGGCCTGAATTGAGATTTTGTGTGATTTTGTTAGAGCATGACCGTATCTTTCTCTCGGAAAAATTGTATCCATGAAATACTCATATTGCCTGAGTAATAAAGAATGTAAAATTGACCTAACCTCAAACCTGGTTACCATCGTCCGAACGACAACCGCTTATCTGAACGAAGTGACTCTAGGCCGCGTTCCTGGAGCCAGCTAGAACGTGCTATGCCCATGCCTTGCGGTGGCCCGTGGTATCGGCTGGGTTTTGTGTTGTTTTACCTTGACAATGCGGTCGAGAAGGGCCCAGTTCCTTCAGGATTTAAAAGATAAAGCTCAAAGTAAGTAATATCCGTCATAAGATTTGTGAAATTGGATTGTTGAGCGTTCGTAGGTCTTTCATACCTACCTAACCTTAAACTGTGTTCGATAATTTCATTATTTTCTATTATTAAGATGTATAACTATTTGAAGTCATCTTTCTAAAACAGTAATTCTAACATTTTTCCAGATGATAGCCACAATCGCAGTGCAGCTGCCCGACAACAACAGCAGAGCAGAGTAAATGTAGATGATTGTGTCAGCTTGGAAGCTGTTGGCAGGAGACTCCCTGATGCTAGGGGTAGGTGCTCTGCTATTGTTCTGTACCTATAATTTACAAGAGAACGTGATAATTCAAAAAGTTGTCATCTGTCTGGTTTGTGATATACTTGATAAATTTGCATTGACAAAAATTATTTTGAACATTGGTATTACAAATTCTGTTGAAATCAGTTGTTTGATGCACCTTTTGTTTTTCTTTGTGTCTCTTTACAATCAAATTGTGTTCGCAAGTTTTATTTCAATACAGTGTATTATGAATGTTTTCAGCCGTGAACGATTTCAACTTTGTGTGAGTACCTTAAAGCTATGCCGTATAGTTTGCATTGTGCTTCCTTGGAACTGGATCTGTACTTCTTGGTTTATTTCTTTTCACAAACAATTTGATTGGCTGAAGGGCTTGATTCAAACTTCAGACTGCTTTCAAAAATTTTAAGTTAGCAGAGTTAAATGATTTTTGTCAGGAGTCTTATAAGCTGCAAAGCAGAGGTTCAACCACTTCGTTTTTCCATACATATATATTGCGGCCTGTGTCTGTACTGAAAAAAAATTCTCTTTAAACACTGCTGTTCAAGGGTGCTAGTGGCATGTGATTCTTTGCAACAATAATGTATGTTACTCAAAACTAATTATATGAAATGTCTTTCCGATATTTGAATGGCCTCTTTTCTTTATAATTGCCTCTTGCTTGTGTAGCCTGTTGCCTGTAGTGCACTTTTGACATCAATGTTTTAACAGCAACTTTTTCTTCCTACTTGTAGGATACAAAAACAAGGTCAATGACTGGATGGGAGCAAATGAAACCGCTGAGGTGCTCCCAGCAGCGGAGGAGCCCCTGGCACTGGAGCTCCCAGCAGCATCCCCAGAAGCAGAGGCCCCACCAGAAAAGCCTGCTCCTGCAGCAGAGCCCCCAGTAGTGGAAACCCCACTAGTGAAACCTGCAGCAGAGCCCCTAACCGTTATAACGGTTCATAATCCTGTGGTGCAGAGTAAGCCACAACAAGTTAAGCGGAATTTATTTGGATTCACTGAAAATTATGGTAATTCTGACTTCAGCGCTGATAAACTTTCGATTTTTTAAAGAATGTTAAAGAAATGTTATTACCAATCCTTTTTACTTTGCAGGTGGCTCTAGCATTACAGTAGACTGTGAGGTTCTTAATTCAGCTCCACTTGGAGGTAAGTTTTTAAATTTACACTCTTTACCTGTAACTAATAATGCGACAAGCAAAATTTTTCTGAGAGTGGTTGTAATTATGTCAAAGTTCCTCACTTAATTTAATAGAATGAAATTTTTAATGCACATTTCAGGTACTGTCATAGCTGCAGCTCTACCAGAGGATACTAATGCAGCCAGTGATGAAGAATTACCAGTCCGCAGTTTTTTTGTTGGTGAAGTTGATGCTACATCTGACAAAAGCTCTACTAAAGGTAACAATTTTTTTATTTCTTAAAAGTGTAATACAAACAAACTAACTGAATCAGTGATTCATTTCAGAGTTGAATTTAGTTGGTTTCATGTCATTTTAAAGTAATTCATTAGTTTTTGTTTATTTCACTGCATCTGCTAGGTCAAACGAATGAGGCTTCTCATGAACCTATACCTTCATCCCCCCCTGGAGCTGTGGATAATCAACAGGAAGGAAATGGTAAGCATTTGAAGTAAGAAGTTTAAAAGGATTGTGGATATCCCAGACAGAGTGGTAGTGTCAGTACCATTAGGAGCAGAATGGGGAGAGAGAGAGCAAGTGTGGGTAGGAGTTTGGGGAGAGAGGGGGGGGGGGGCAGCGTCGGCCTGCGAATGGTGACGGCCACTTTGGCGAGCACGACGAGCGACAGGCCGAGCAGCGCCAGCCTGGCAAGTAGAGAGAGAAGGACACCTGCACGGCGGCGAGCACTGCAACGGCAAAGAGCAGCAGACCATGCGGGCGCAGCATCAGCACCGCGAGCTCCTTGAGCAGCTCCAGGGACAGCAGAAGGAGGCCGGGCAGGCCGGCGAGCGCGGGCAGGGCGCCGACGCCGAGCAGCCGCAGACTCGGCCCAGCGGGCGCAGCGTCAGCACCGTCATCACCTTGAGCAGCCCCACGAGCAGCTGCAGGGACAGCAGCAGGATGCCGGGCAGGCGGCGAGCGCGGGCAGGGCGCCAACGCCGAGCAGCCGCAGACTCGGCCCAGCGTCAGCACCGTCAGCACCGTCATCACCTTGAGCAGCCCCACGAGCAGCTCCAGGGACAGCAGCAGGAGGCCGGGCAGGCCGGCGAGCGCGGGCAGGGCGCCAACGCCGAGCAACCTCAGACTCGGCCCAGCGTCAGCACCGTCATCACCTTGAGCACCGTCATCACCTTGAGCAGCTCCACGAGCAGCTCTACAGACAGCAGCAGAAGGGCGGGCAGCGGGCAGGAGTGGCGCCAGCGGGCACAGCACCAGCACCAGCACGGCGGCTTCCAGGAACTTCACCAGGGGCTGCAGGGTGGCAGCAGCCGACCAGGAGGGCGGCCTCCAGGACCCGAAGGGACGCGAGGGAACCCATGCTAGCACTTGCACGGCGGGGACGGCGAACGTAGGAGGCGCAGGAGAAGGCCCTGTGGCTGCCTGCACGATCAGTGCCAGGGGCTGCATTGTGATGATGGGGTTTGGTAGAGGACCTGCATGTCGGTTTCAGGGGCAGTGTCCTTGGACGTTCCGGAGGTTGATCAGAATCAGGTCCACTATTGGGCCTCACCACCTTGGTAGCCTACTGCTTTGTGACCTCACCCATAGGGCTTATAATTTTAGTACTTTATTTTAATCCCTTATTGTCATTAAATATTTCTTTTTGTCTTCTAGGTCATATGAATGAAGGTCTGACCGAACACACTGTCCTTACCCATGATGTTCTGGCAACACCTGTGATAGGTAAAGTACTGTAACAGACATTTGTTATTTATTTCCTGCCAATTATTTTATGAGAAATATTAATTAAAATGTGTTTCCTGTACAGGTGCTGCACCCACTATCTTCACTACTCCAGAACAGATTAATTCTACTGCTTCATCAGGCCAAAGGAAACGAACAAGAGCCAGTGGGGCATCTTCTGAAAGTCCCAAGAGAAAGAGATCAAGAAATACTTATCGCTGGAAATCTACTATTCGGAAACAACAGAAGAATTTGGGTCAGCCATACATCTCTGTCAAAGGCAAAGAAATGAAAGGAGCTGAAATGAGAAACCCTTGTTCATGTAAACACAACTGCAGGCATAAAATAACAGAAGAACAGAGGAATTATCTTTTTCAACAGTTTTGGGCATCTGGTAGCCATGAAAGACAGTGGGAGTACATTCGCCAACACTCTACTTCTAAACCTACAAATGAAGAAAAGGAAGGTTTTGTAGGTAAGAAGAAATGTATCAGATCTTTCTTCTTCATGATAGAAGTCAAGAAAGGAGTTGAAAATGAAATTCAGATGGGTGAGGAGTTTCTAGCTCAGATAGAAGATGAGATGGTAACTGAAAAAATACTTGTTTGCAAAAAGATGTTTATGGCCACACTTGGAATCTGGGACTGTTGGATTGATAGTGCATATAAACATCTAAATCCTAAGAAGGGCAATGTTGCAACTCCTGACAAAAGGGGTCGCCATAATAAGCATTTTACCGCAGTTACTCCAGGAAAAATAGAAACAGTAAAGGAGCACTGTAATTTATTTCCTCGTGTCCCATCCCATTACTGTCGGGAAAAATCTAAGAGGGAATATTTGGAACATGGTCTTAGCCTTAATAAAATGGCCAAACTGTATGTCAAATGGGCAGAAGAGAAAGGCCTTCCTAAAAGCAAAGTAGCAACAATAAGACAATATAAAGATGTTGTTAACTCCAATTTTAACATTGGTTTCTTTAAACCCAAAAAAGACCAGTGTGGTCTCTGCGCCCTGATAAGAAGCAAACACAATCCAAGACATATAAAAGACCAATATAAAGAGAAATATGCCGCTCACATTAAGCGCAAGGATTTGGTCAAGAAGATCAAACAAAAGGACCGAACTGTCGCAGAAAAAGACAAGAACTTTGCAGTTATTTCATTTGATCTTCAAAAGCAGTTGCCGTGCCCTAGATCTGAAGTTGGTACATTCTTCTATAAAAATAAATTATCTGTCTATAATCTCACAATTTTTCACGAGGTAGAAAGAATTGGCCACTGCTATCTTTGGCACGAAGGTCTGGGCAGGAAAGGAAGCTGTGAGATTGCAAGCTCTGTAAGTCATTTCATAGACAAGCTTGTCCAAAAGGGACACAAGGAAATAACATTGTATTCAGACAATTGCTCAGGTCAAAACAAAAATAGATATATTTTTGCCATGTTTCAACTTAAAGCAGTTTTGCATGAGGTGAAAATCACCCATCGATTTTTGGAGCCTGGACACACTCATATGGATGCGGACACAATTCATGCTAGGATTGAGAATTCTACTCGATTGAAAGAAATATTGGATTTTGAAGACTGGGTCCAAGCTATCACTGAAGCCAAGGAGACTTTGCCAGCTTACAATGTTGTAAGACTAAAGCAATCAATGATTTTTGACTGGAAACATTTAGTTTCTTTGCAAAATTGGAATAAGGATATGAAGGGCCAAGTAATCAAGTGGAAAAAGGTCAGAGAAGTCAGCATTGACGGGAGAGAAGGTAATCTAGTCAGAATCCGTTACGACTTAGATGGAGAAATTTGTACCCTTAGCCCAAATAGAGTTGGAAGGCCTGTCAATCTTAAAACGTATCAGCCCCCAAGAAATTATGATGGACCAATTCCACTGCAAGCTAGTAAAAGAGAGCATATTCAAGAATTTTGTGATACCTTGGCCATTCCCCTAGACAAGCAAGAGTTCTACCAAAATGTTCTGGCAGGCACTGTGGATGATAATGGCGACGATTTGTCTGAAGTTGAATATGAAACAGATGAAGAAATCATTGCTTCCCTTGATCCAAAAGGTACTGCAGAAGATGACAATGAGGGTGAAGCTGCTGACAGTGAAAATGATCGTGATGAAGAGGGTGACGATACTATTCCATTTTAAGGTGATGACTATATTATTCTTACCAAAAAATTTTATTCTATATATATATATTAGAAAAATGACAAAATATTACATTTCAATATATTCTTGTCCTCCTTTTTTATGCTAAGTTATGCACTTAAGTAATGTATGTTTCTACTACCCTGCTAGCTAGTCTTGGTTTTATTTTGATACGTGATTTTTAATGCTTTAAGAAATGATCAACATACGCATTTTATGTTCTAATAATTTTTGGTATTGTTAACTGCTAGCTAGTCTTATGTTCCTTACCACCTTGTCCTGTACTTATATTTCTCTGAAGACTTAATAGAAGAGACTGATTAGTTTTAAAATAAAACAGGTGTTTAAATCAGACATTTTCTTTATTGACCACAAAAACAAATCTTTTCGTAAAATAATTATTGTATTCTTAGTACATCAAAACAAATCAAAAGCACCAATAAAAAACACAAATTGTCTTAACATGTCAAGTGCAATAAATTGAGTCATAAGATTGATCACGTATACTCTCATAGCACTTGCTCAATATCTCCGTATAAGTAACATGTTCTAATTTCACAAACTTACGTAAAGGGATACTAAGATTTAAGTACTGGGGATAAAAATCAAAAATTTAAGTTCGAAAATGAAGCAACAATCCATAACATACTATATCCATTTCAATTAACACTAACAGGAAAATTGGAAACAAATCACACCATGACATGGATACAGAGGTTATGAAGCACGAATATGATTAGAATAGTACCTCTCCACACCCTCATATTCTGCAAACAAAGAAAATGGTAACTTAAATACAATTCTAAACCATTTAATCACCAAATAATCACTTACAAGCATTTTAAAAACGCTTTTTCACATTGTGTGTGTCATACTCACATTTCATTTTAAGCCGTATTTCTATATCATAAGCAAGAAGACCTTTGAAATGGCCCATATCTAGAGTAAAAAGATCAGAGAACACGATGACACCGCGACCAGAACAAACGTACCACGCATTGAATTGATTTCCACTATCAGATCTACAACATCGCCTCCTGGGAAAGCCGGATTAACCACTTGCGCGGGTGTGTGCGACGCCCTGTGCAGATAAGCTGTTCTGTGCCGCGCGGCCTTCACGTGCGCGGTTATGAGCGAAGGCTGGTACTGATGAGCGGTTGTGTGCCGCGGACGGGCAAGATGCGCTAGTTTGAGCCGCACCGGCGCACGATAAGCGGATTTCGATAGGGAGTGTCGACTCATCATCAAGAATCAGAGAGCCATCAGAATCGTCATACACCTGGTAAAAGGACAGGAGGCCCAAATTAAGTTTACACAAACTACACTACAACTCGAACTCAGGGTGATGCTGCTTACCTTGTGTGATGCTGATGATGAGGTTTTCTCATTAAAACCCTTTGAAGATCCTCAAGACTAACAGCAGAGAGCGTGATCCGGGTCTCTTCAGAAGACCTATCATAAAACAGTACTTTAAAGAAAGGCATGGTGGATCTGAAACAAGGTGATCTTATTTGTAACAAATACTGAAGGCACAAATCCAACATCACAAAGACAAAACTTAAAGTTTTATGATTAAAGGTACAACGAAAACAAGATTACAAAGGCAAACCTTTATACTTTGAGCTGGAGGTCAAGTTTGATGAGACACAAAGGACACAAGTTCAGGCTAATCCTATGCACCTGAAACAAATAGGTTAGGTTCAGGTTAGGCTGTTGACCGAGGAACTGTTTTCTTGATGAGCGAGTACATAAATAACGTCACGAAGTTACGAAAAGTAATAAATGACTCTCAAATCAATGTAAAGAACAAACCCTAGCCAGAGAACAAACCTTTCACAGCATCGAGCGCACAGAGATGAGCTGTATTAGTGAGCAGAGTCGCGGCGAATGGCACACAATCACCGAATAGTAGCTCAAGTGCAAGATGCGACACTTAAATAATGCCATTGTGGGTTTGTTCTACTTTTTAGCCCGCCCTTCTGCTTTGAAAAAGCTATCCAGCGGGCTTATGCAAACGACCTCGTGTGTGTCTGTGTGTCTGTGTCTCT